GTGTTGGTGTCCTCGATGGTATTATGTTGCGGTTTCCTAGGTGCTGGTCAGTTTAACATCGACTCTCGACTTGGTTGTTGTTACTAAAAAAAAAAAAAAACAATTATTTTCAAAAATAAAAATAAAAAAAATATATATAAAAGTTTTCATTCGCAATATGAAATACTGTTTCGTACGAGTTAAACGTTAAAATTATTATTATTATTATTATTATTATTATTATTATTATTATTTACATATTTTTTTTTACTGTATATTTTAAAAAATTATTTTGTTCTTCCATTTTTTTTTTTTTTTTTTTTTAATTCTTTTGTTTTGTATTTTCCTGACGGAAAAAAATAATTTATTTCAGTAAGTAATTAATTAATTTATTTTATTTATTATTAATATCACTGCAAATAATAATCGATAATAATAATGATAATAATTATGCTTTTTAACGAATTATTACGAATTGTTTAACAAAAAATATTTTAAATAATTAACTATCGGTTTTTTAATTTAAATTTAAATTTAAATTTAAATTTTTTTTTTTTTTAATTGTTTATTATTTTTATGACGTCACAATATTTTAACATTATTATTAATTTTTTTTTATATATGTTCTTATCGACACATTACCCTCCCCCCCCCCCCAGAAAAAATTACAATTGACGAAATTCGACTATTTAAACCCCATTTTATTTTATCGAAAAAACAACAGCGGAAAATTCGATATATCGATCGATATTCGATATTTATATATAATTATAATCGTTTCATTAATTCATTTCGAAAAAAAAAATAATAATAATAAACGTATGTAAAAAGTACTAATGTTAAATTTTTCATACGATACATAAATGTCTATAGAACGTTACACGAATAATAATAATAATGATAATAATAATAATAATAATAATAATAATCGATTAATAATTTTAATAAATATAAAATCTCATAATCCCTAATATTACAGACAGTGCCAAATAATTTTTTTTTTTATAAACATACAACGCATTATGTTTAATTACAAACGACAAACAATAATAATAATAATAATAATAATAATGATTAAATGCGTATTTAAGAGAGAGAGATACACAATTACCATTTTTTTTTTTTTTTTGTCAAAAGGGATTTTTTGATAACATTATGACGGTCTGACATTTTTTTTTTGTATAAAAAAAAAAAAAAAGTCTACCAAATCGTGTGACTTTATAAAATTAATATATTTAATTACCGCTTGTTTTATTATTATTATTATTATTATTATTATTATTTACGAGGTAATAAAATTGAACGTAATTATATAAATAAAAATAAAAATTTTTAACGTGTCGTCGACTTCGAAAACGAAAACAAAATTTAACTCGCATGAAATAATACAACTTTTACTTTTACTTTCCCACACACTCTCTTCCTTTTTTTTTTTTAAATTTGTTACCTTTTTATTCCCTCTTCCATTTTCCTTCCTTCCTTCCATGTTTGTTCCCCCTTTTCAAATCATTCCAGATACCTATAAAGAAAGAAAAAATTATTATTTGAATATTAGTTACCTACCACATTGCATGCGTTTAATTGTTTTACTCACATTAAATGTTCAATGCCAGAGATGATCATTTTCCATTTTTTTTTTTTTTTTTTTATTTGTTTAATGGCAAAGTTATTTTATTTTATTTTACGTTAAATACGACGCCATTCTTTCTTAAAAAAAAATAAATAAATAAATATTAATAAAATAATTAATAAAAATTTACTCTACGTTATGATT